AAACTTTAGGTGCATCTGAATCACTTGGAGGGCTTGTTAAAATGCAGATTACTGGCCCCCATCTAGTTTCTGATTCAGTAGGTCTGAGTGGGCCCCAATATTTTGCATTTCTAAGGAGTTCCCAGGTGATGCTGATGCTCTTGATCCAGCGACCACACCTTGAGAGCCCTGTACTAGGCATGGCCTGGGAGATTATTATATATTATTATAGATTTATTATAAATCAATATGTCAAGTTACTATAAAACAGAGGCTTATTAAAAGAATAGAGGGAGGAAAAGTCCAGCTCACCCTTTTTTGTTGTTTTTTAATAATTGCTCTTCTAAGTGATTAACCTTATGGCAATACATCCATGTCCCGAATGCAAAGGTGAGGTCCAGAATTTTCCTTCTGATACCTGTATTATACCCATGGCAATTTTATAAACCAGTACATGAATCTGAGCTGAATTCCTTGCCAGAGCGTGGTTCTAACATTTCTTAAAATGTTCAGCTCCTATTTTGGAATTTCTGGTTAACACTGTATTTGGAAAGATGAACGGAATTTAGAAATAGTCTTCTATTTCTCATTGAACACAATAACCTGGATATAAAAATTCTGTCTTAGCCTCCTTTGTTACCAGGAAATTTCTGATTAAATTTCCTATTAAAATTCTTACTGCAATTATGAACCATCTTCTGGCCTTATAGAACAGTGCTGTCATTTTAAGCTGTGACAACCCATCTAATGATCAAAGAGGAGACGAATAGTGACAGAATGCTATTAGGAGGCAGTGGTGATTTTTACCTGCCTCTCGGGTGAACCATACTTCCCTGGAGAGGGTTCCGTTCTACTTGCCTGAGCAGCTGGAGTGACAGTGCAGGTAGAAATCTGCTCCCCTGGAGAACTGCAGGCCCTGTTCCTCTCCGATAGGTATCTGGGAGTGTTCGCTTTCCAAGACCCGGGCAGTGACTTGAATGTTTACATTGTTAATGCTCTGATCACAGGTAATGGCAGATTAAAACATGACCAGCATGACCAACAGAAACAAAGGTTTGTTGATAAGGATCACCTATTCATGGCAGAAGACTAGGAGGCAGAGAGGAGGCTGCAGGGGATAGAGTTATTGGGGCAGAGGGAAGGAAAAGGGGAAGGTAATGCTAGCCTTTAAAAAGTGCTCCATGGTAAGGAAAGAATCCCTTAGATCCTTTCTGGTCTCATGGCTCTCATAAGTCAGAAATGAAGCAAGATGAGTAATAGATACAGTGTCCTTACAGTTCAGAGTGTATTCTGCATTTACATGGAAAAGTAAACGGCAGTGAGGCTGAAAGTTTTAGTAAAATTATATCCCTTGAATGAAAAAGTATTGTGTATTCATACACTGATAATATGTTACGCTTATGTAGTTAGTTCCTCTAGTTTTGAGTAACCGGCGTTCTTCTCTTTGGTTTTCTGCAAATTCAGGCTTTTTGATTTTGTTATCCTTAAAATGGGAAATATATTTTAAGCCAAGTTTCCAGAGATCATATTTGCACGTGTATGTGCCATGGTATTTGCACATCTGCATATGTAAACACTGTGAACTGTGCTCTTACTGGCAGAGGTATTGTGCTCACCTTGTGTTTATTGTTAACTTTACCTATAATCTAAGGAAAGGACGGATGGAGGGAAAATTTACCGAGACAGTTCATTGTGTAAAACCTTAGCCTACTTAGAGTATACAAATTATTTTCAAGATTTCCTAAGCAATACTTTTCAGTGAATACATGTGCTAATTATATCTGATTCCTGTTAGTGTTAAAGCCTGAAAGGCTTTCAGACATGTCCTGTAGTGAGTTGAGTTCCTAACTCTTTATTTCTGCATCATTGACAATGTTTCTGAATTTATTAATATAAAACTGCTCATTTTTAATGTCTCATTTAGTCTTTTCAGATGCAGGCTATTTCCAATGTTTGGCAAGTAGAATAGATCATAACTAATTGGTAAATATATGTTTTAGACTGATGAGTAAATTATAACATTAACCATTATAATATTTGGACAAGAAATTAATGGAAAGTTCTGTGGATTTTAATTTATTATAAATAATCTATACTTTCTCTGAAATATTACAAAGTAAGATTGATTTTCAACTTACATGTTCGTGTTAGTTTCCAGATTTGGGTAATTATATTACCATTTGGTAAGACAATGTCCTTGTTCTTAGGAAGTGTACTCAGAACTGTTTATGGGTAGGTACATTGTGTCTGTAACTTCAAATGATTCACAAATTATGCATGCATACAAATCAATAAATAAACATAAATACAAGTATATCCAGCCATGTGTCACTTAATGACGGGGATACATTCTGAGACATGTGTTATTAGGTGATTTCATCATTGTGGGAACATAATAGAGTGCACTTACGCAGACCGAGATGGATAGCCTGTTATATGCCCAGGCTCTGTGGGATCGCCTATTGTTTCTAGGCTACAAACCTGTGCAGCATGTTCCTGTACTGTAACTGTTTGCATTACAGCGTTAGGACAGCTACAGTGACACTAGGCAATAGGAATTTTTCAACTTCATTATGATCTTATGGGACCACTGTCATTGACTGAAATGCAGTCATTGACTGAAATGTCATTATGCAGCACATAACTGTATATATATTACATATATATATAGTTGTAGAGAGAGAGACAGACACAAACACACACACTAAGGGGACAAGAGAATTAGAAAGCAAATATGATAAAATTTTTAAAATGATAAATCTCTGTGAAAGGCATAGTGGAATTCTTTATCCTTACAGGTTTTCTGTGAGACTCACATTATATCACAATGATTAAAACATATGTTCATATTGATGGTGAAATAGGAACTGTTGCATCTTTTATTTTAAGGAAATTTTGACAATTTCCTTAAAAAAGACATTGTGTATGAAAGGCCTTAGATATATATATCTTTTGAACTAATAATTCTACTTCTAGGAATCTAGATTAAGGAAATAATCATTGATATGTATAATGATGTATGTGTAAAGTGTACATCACAGAATTTTATGTATTACCGCGAAAATGTGTTACAGCAAAATTTTTGTAGTCTCCTAAATATACATCATCAGAAGATTGACTTTCTAATTAGGATGTGTCTGTATATATACTCTGTAGTCTTTGAAAGTAATGTTGCAGAAACAGTTTTTTGTTTTGGAAAATGTTCACAGTATTAAAAATGAAAATAATCTAGTTATAAAGCAATTATAATGATTTTTCCAACTTTTTTATTGTGGTAAAATACATAGCATAAAATTTATCACCTTAACCATTTTTAAGTGCACAGTTCAGTGTATTGAATATGTTCATAATGTTGCACAACCAGCACCACCACCCCAACTCCATAGCTCTTTTCATTTCATAAAATTGAAACTCTATACTCACCAAACATTCACTTTCCCAATTCCACCTTTCTCCAGCCCACCATTCTACTTTTCCCTTTTATGATTTTGACTGCCCTGCGTACCTCATATAGTGGAATTATACAGTATTTATCTTTTGTGACCAGCTTATTTCACTTAGCATAATGTCCTCAAGATTCATCCATGTTGTGGCATACATCACAATTTCCTTCCTTTTTAAGGCTGAATAATATTCCATGTATGTAGATGCCACATTTTTCTTATCCATTCATCTGTCAGGGGACAATCTGATTTCTTCCATGTTTTAGCTGTTACGAATAATGCACACGGGTGTATATAATGCCTTTTTGTGAAATGTTTTGTTCATGAACTTTTTTGTTCATTGAAATGATAACTGCAAAGGCATACAATACAATGTTAGTAGTAATTTTCCTAAGTAGTGAGGTGGTGGCGATTTTATTTATTTTAGTTTAGTTGGTAATTTTTTGTTTTTCTTCCTGGCACATGTAATACTTTTGATTGGGAAATACAAGTTACATTGAGTGGGATAAAGTCCCCAGCCAAAGAGTTTCGGTAGCCATACAGATAACAGTGTACAGCACGTTATAGGAGAGGCTGGGGAACCTCTTCTCCATAGTAACCAGTCATCAATTACAAAAATACTGTTTAAAATTCAGCAACAGTGATCATACCCTCAAGGGACTATGGTGACCTTAATAAGAATGGTGCTAATATTATTACTATATGAGTGCACCTGATTTTAGGTCCGTTTTCTCAGAATATGTACCAGATACTCCCTGCATATGGGTCACTTGAGGTGACTGCAAACAAAAAGAAATCCTTTGAATAAATCTCTGGGGTTGAAGTCAGTAAATGTGCATTTGTATAAAGCTGTCCGAATCATTCATATTTCTATGATGTTTGAGAAATCACGCTCTAGGCAAATTCAATTTGTTAGGAACTGGAGTCAAAACCACATGAATAATGTTTAATAATTTATTCTATAAAAGGATCACACAATAATTCTTTGAGTAGGATATACCCGTTTAAAAAATATATAGTATTTATGAAAAATTCAGGTGTGTATTTTTGACGGGCATCTTTGTTTCAAGGGATGCACATCCATGTATAACTATATTTGGCAACATTTGGGGACTTCTGTTCCTTTGTATCCATCAGATGACGACTTTGTGTTTTATGTACAATGAATATAGATTTTTTAAAATACAAATTCATGATATAGAACACTCCGGAAACCACATGAAGAAAGTCTGTAAACCCATCAGCTGGGTCTGAAATAAAGACGAACTACCTAATCATATCCTAGGGGCATTGATCCATTCATTACATTAGTTTACATTCTGTGCTTTTATCCTATGTCAAGCCCATTTCTTCCAGCATGCTCTTGAACCAAGTGCCTAGATGAACAATGACTCATGCTAGTTGAAATTATTTAATTTGAATACATATGTGTGTTTTTAATCAGTTTGCAGACGAAAAGTACTTCTCACATTCTGCATACGGAGCTTAGCAAGCACTTTGAGCCAAGAGTTGCTTCCTAGATTTTAGGTGAAAGTTTCCTCTGTATCACGGTGCTCTTTGCTTTCTTTTTGCTTTCAGATTTTGTTGACGGATCCGTACACCACAAAGCCTTACTTATATCTGTGACTGTCTGTAGCTTCCTACTGGTCCTTATCATTTTGTTCTGTTACTTCAGGTAAGTGTCCAGCATGTAGATGCAGAATGTCCAGCTTCCAGTACCTTTCTCCTACGACTCTCCTACCTGTTGACTTTTCCCCTCGCAGCTTCCTTTGACCTAATTAGGTCTTAGATTTCACTGATAATATTGTTGCTATTGATGAATATTTATCCTAATGGAGCTATTAATAGATACCTATCTCATTTGTGTTTCAGATATCAGAACCACCCAGATAAGTTTCGCCCCTAGGGAAATGAGGGCAGCTCGGGAATTAAGGAACTAGTTGCTACTGAGCTTGATTCTAAGCCGAGAAATGAGCATCTTGAACTTAGAGTGTTCTAGTAATTTCTTATTTCCCGAGCTAACCATTTCCCTAGCATGGCAATATTTTAAAATAGATTTTATAGATTATTAAATTAAAATAAGTTTAGTTCCTATATTAAAGCGAAGTATGGTGGTTACAAATTACTTCTAGTCACCTAAAAACTTATTTTGTGGTTTGTGAAATGTCAAGGACTTTTAAATTCATGTCACATGCCTTTTATAATACTCATTTCTGATACTGTGTGAGTTGATTCAAATAAAAAGTTTGAGTTTATTTCATTTATCTATATTATTGGTCTATAGATTACCTTACATGAGAGCATTAGCTATAACGTCTTTCACACACCACAGATTTGCATCTGTGTTCCTTAGGGGCATCTTAAAGGGAAGGGTTTTAGGGAAGGAATATAATGGAACTATACAGAAACATTAATGGACTGTAGCCAGCTGGGAAATAATCAATTGAAAGGAACAGAGAAGAGGAATTATAGATGGTCGAGGCTGAGTAAAAACATGTAGTTTACTTTAAAAAATCAGTTAGGAAAATCTTTATAATTTGTATTTTGGAAATCATAACTGAGGGTAATAAATACTGAGCATTTAACCTTGCATTGTTTTTATGTGCTAAAATAAAACCTGCCATGATTGTTTCCTCTGCAGTGTTTTGCCCTTATCGTTGCAATTCAGTGACTAAAAATGATCTTCCTCTACACATCTTCAGGTATAAAAGACAAGAAGCCAGGCCTCGGTACAGCATTGGGCTAGAACAGGACGAAACCTACATTCCCCCTGGAGAATCCCTGAAGGACTTAATTGAGCAGTCTCAGAGCTCAGGCAGTGGATCAGGCCTCCCTCTGCTGGTAGGAGGCGAACATTATATATTGAATTTAAAGGAATGTTTTCTGAGAGGAAATGTCAATAAATACAGGGTTTCGTTTTACTGAAACAGATAGGGCCGGACAAAGAGGATGTTCTGTGCAATCTGTTAGATATCAGATCTCAGATGCGGGGCTTCCTGATAACATTTTGACATATTGGGGGTAAGGTGATTGTTTTTTAATGTCAGTGTATGGTTACAATCCAGACCCTCCGACGTTCTGATGAAGAGCAGATTAGAGAACATTCAACATGGGGCCATCTTCCCTCTGTTTTCAGTCAGGATAGTATTACTGCACTTTGGCCTGGCTTTTGAAGGCAAAAGCATTCCAGCCAACTGGGATCTGAGTACTTTTATAAGGGAAGAAGGCGAAGGCTGCCTTTCAGCTGGAGGGTTTATGTTTCAGGGTGAAGTCCTGGCTTTTCCATTCAGGAGAGGTTTAATTTTCTGATGGCCAACACTGCCAAACCTGAAGAAAATATATACCGAATCCAAGGCACTTGTCTAATGAGAAAAACATTTTGTTCCTTTATGGACCATGCAAAAAAGATGTTTGGGACTCGGGATGGAAATAACAATTTTAATGAGAAATATTTTCCTTTATAAACTCTTAACATTGATTTTCCTAATCTTTATTGTCTGGTTTTCACTTTGGATATCTTGTTTACTTTATTCCTTAGGCCACCTCTTATTTAGTACTAAAAGTAACTTAAAAAAATAATCTCAAGCCAAGAATTTATCTTATAACTTTTTATAACATACAGAAAGCTGTTTATATTTAATATATACAACTTGAAGAGTTTGGCGATGAATATATATATCCATGAAACCATCACCACAATCTATGCTATAAACATACCCGTCACCTCCAAAAGTTTCCTCCTGCCCTCTTTATTTATTATTATTTTATGATAAGAACACTTGAATAAGATTTACTCTCTTAGCAAATTTTAGAATACAATATACTATTGTGAACTGTAGGCATTAAAGATCTTGCATAACTGGAACTCTGTGCTTGGTTACTGACGCCTCCCTGGACCAGACAGAACACCATTGCGAGGCGGGCACTGTGACCAAACCGATGCTCCTTCGCATGGACATTTTTCTTATGGAAAAACTGTAAACATTCTTATTATCAAATTGCTGGATTTTTATTTTTGGGATTAAGATGTCCCAAATACAATTCTTTTATTTAAGAATGTTGTTATTAACGCTGACCAGTTTTGCTCAGTGGTTAGAGCATTGCCCACAGACTGAAGGGTCCCGGGTTCAATTCCAACCAGGGGCCTGGAGCTCGGTTGCAGGCTCGATCCCCGGCGGGGGCATGCGGGAGGCAGCCAGTCGGCATGTCTCTCTCCCATCGCTCTTTCTCTCTCTCCCTCTCCTTTCTACTCTCTCTGAAAAGCAATGGGAAAAAAAAAAATTCTCGGATGAAAAAAAAAAAAGAAAGAATGTTACTATTATACATTTTTAAAAGAAAAGTACAAATATTGAAATCCCCTTTGTCACTGTTACTTGGCCATTTCAGTCATGGTGTTTTTAAAATACTTTTTTATAAGCACAGATGGGCTAAAGATCATGTATAAAGAGACACTTAACCTCTGTGCCACTTTAACTTTCATAGTTTCTTTTTCTTTGTCTCTACTACACTCTCTGTAATTCTTCAGAGTTCTCTCGTTAGCTTAACTTTCTCTCCAGCTTTAATCCGTTGTTTTACTTGGTCCATTTTACATTTTCTGAAGTGATAATGAACTGTTTCACTCCAAAATGTAATTTTCATTAATTTCCTGCTGCATGCTTATTTTTCATTCCATCTTCTATTTTACGTATTTCGTGTAGCGTTCCTTAGCTTTCTATATCTGAAACTTCCAGTATCTGTCACCTGAAGCGGTTAAGTCTATTTGGATTTTTTCTCTGGACTCTCATTTAGAGTGGCTGTTTCCTTGGAAATTCTCGTTCTTATCTTCCCTCTCCCCTTCCCTTGCCTCCCTCCCTGTTCCCTTGGCAATTTCCTTTATTTCCTTATGTCAGAGTAAGAACATCCAAACCTGCAGAGAATTTTTATAAAAATTTATTTAAGCCAAAAAGAGGATACACCTGGAAGCAAGATCTTAACACATTGAGAAAAAATGGTTCTCAGAATAATGGTTTGCAGCTTCTTTTATGCATTTGGAATTAAGGAAGGAACATAAGGAAAATTACTTGAATTTGGAGCAAGCAGGTAGGGATTGGATTACAGGAGGGTTGACAAGATTATGTGCTCTCTTGAGGGTGGTTTCTCTTCTGAGGGATCTGGAAGAGGCATTTCAAAGGTGTGTTACCAGGCTGGCTTAAGGCAAAGACAAATCTTTTACTAAAGAAGTTATATGCCTGGGGCTTGGCTACTTACCATGAACTGCCAGGTTAGGAATTTATGATCAGATTATCCTTTGAGGCTACTTTCCCTAGAACCCCTTTTTTGTCCACACTTGTGAGCCCAACACTGCATTGCCAAGGGAACATTATTTATTTCTTATATTTTACCCGTGTTCAACTTACATGATTGCAAGCATTCCTTCAAAGTACCATAGTGGTGGGATGAAAAGCATTTGATAAATGATTTCCTGGAGAGAGGATTTGTATTTGATTTTGCTGGGAGCCATGGTAGGACAAATCTAGTGCCATTCAGTGGTCCCAGCTTAATTCTGAAACCGTAGGTTCAGCTCCTCTACTTTTAAAGGGATCAAAGTTTAGATTCTGGCTCCCAGTACTGGTATTATTAGCCCAGGCAGCAGCCTGGCTTTTGTTTATGCTTAACGCTTATCTTTCCCTGCTCTGGTCTCCATTCTTTCCTCCCACTTTTTCTCCCTCTTTTCTTCCTCCCTCCCTTTCCCCCTCCCTGCTTGGAGATTTCCTTTATTTCTTTGTTTGTCCACTAATACATACATTACAGCTCTGTTTTGTTGAATTTTACCCAAGCATGAGTCCCTTCAGAGTATCTGGTGTCCCACTCTAGTGGCACAAGTGAAAAGTATCCTATTCTGCCAACCACTGTGAACTCATTCAGGTTCTTCTCACTGTGAAAATAATAGGTAGAATGAAATGTCCAATAACTTGGAAGCAGGATTTCAGAGCTTCAGAATCCACCATCAATTTTAAACCTCAAATCTTAAAAGAGGGCAGCAGAAACTAATAAATAAATACAAATAATTTGTCTGTATAAAAGGAAAACTATTTTAGATGTAGTCATTGTTTCTTCTCTGGAGGAAAAAAAAAAGATGAAACAAATTTGTAGTGCTGTGAATCTACTAACAGAGTGTTCTGGGATTTAACAGGTCCAAAGGACTATAGCTAAGCAGATTCAGATGGTGAAACAGATTGGGAAAGGTCGCTACGGGGAAGTCTGGATGGGAAAGTGGCGTGGCGAGAAGGTGGCCGTGAAAGTGTTCTTCACCACCGAGGAGGCCAGCTGGTTCCGAGAGACAGAAATCTACCAGACGGTGCTGATGAGGCACGAAAACATTTTGGGTGAGTCTGCACAGCAGCGCTCAGGGTTTTCTGGCTTTTCTCTGTTTTTCTGTTCACATCTGCGTATTAACTCATCTGTCTAGACCCGTTATGAAATACATAGACATTTTCTTCTTGGCGTGAGCCCAGGAGCATCATAAGCTTCTAATGGGAGACCTCACAGGAGGAATGACTAAGGCACTTCTGTAAATCAGTGGTGGGATGGAAATGGAGTACCCGCCAATATTTTTTCTTGAGGGGCAGGAAATGCAAACACAATACCAGCATTTCTTCGGGTTTCTTAGGGATTTGAAGGAGCATATTTTTGCTTAAATGTTGTGAAAGGTTGTAAGAGTTGTATCTGCAGGCTTTATTATATCCAGAGTTGATACGGATAAGTGATTTCCTTTTTATTTTCTCAAGTTAGAAATGATCTAGCTGGATCATTCAGCTGCACAGAGTATAAGCTAATATGAAGTGTATGTTTTGACTCAGTCTCTGTTTTGTAAACAGTGTCTTATTTATAACTATAATACCATGAGCTGCTTACTGTTAACTTAAAATATTTTAACATGTTTTTGTTTTTTAAATATATCTTTATTGATTTCAGAGAGAGGAAGGGAGAGGGAGGGAGAGATAGAAACATCAATGATGAGAGAGTCATTGATCAGTTGCCTCCTGCAAGCCCCCTGCTGGGGGTCCAGCCCGCAACCCAGGCATGTGCCCTGACCGGGAATCGAACCTTGACCTCCTGGATCCTAGGTCAGTGCTCAACAGGTGAGCCACACTGGCTGGGCAACTTAAAAATTTTTAAATATCAACAACTGATTAAAAAGCAGGGGGTGGAGGGTGAGGGGGGTGTTGCCTGGCCAGGCGTGGCTCACCTGTTGAGCATCGACCTAGGATCCAGGAGATCAAGGTTCGATTCCCGGTCAGGGCACATGCCCGGGTTGCGGGCTGGACCCCCAGCAGGAAGCGTGCAGGAGGCAGCCGATCAATGACGACTCTCTCATCATTGATGTTTCTATCTCTCTCTCTCCCTCTCCCTTCCTCTAACTAAAATCAATAAAGATATATTTTTTTAAAAAAGGGGGGGGGGCATGTTTTCAGATACAAACTCTTAATGTTTCTTTACCTCTGTTGTTTTGATTGCCTCTGATTGGTATTAGTAATTTCATGCTTTCAGTGGCATCATCAGAAAACTTTATGAAATGCTAAACAAAAGACACCTGTGACAAAGAATGATAGTTGAAAATGTGCATTATTCCTGATAATAATAAAAAAACACTTAGCTCCAAACCTTTTTTTCTTTTTTTTTTTCTTTCAGGGTTCATTGCTGCAGATATCAAAGGGACAGGATCCTGGACCCAGTTGTACCTGATCACAGACTATCATGAAAATGGTTCTCTCTATGATTACTTGAAGTCCACCACCCTAGATATTAAATCGATGCTGAAGTTGGCCTATTCTTCTGTCAGTGGCTTATGTCATTTACACACCGAAATCTTTAGTACTCAAGGCAAACCAGCAATTGCCCATCGAGATCTGAAAAGTAAGAACATCCTAGTGAAGAAAAATGGAACTTGCTGCATCGCTGACCTGGGCCTGGCTGTGAAATTTATTAGGTTAGTATCAAGGTGAACAAATACACGTTTTATGATTCTTTCCTATCACTTTTTACAGATTATACATTTTGTAGTTCAGTGCTTCCAGGATATTTAATAGAGGAGGAATTTTTATTAATTTTGACTTTTCTTAGGAGGGAATAAGAAGAAATATTTTATTTGCAACACAGAATGTTTGGCTCAGTTCTCCTGTTTCTATGTTCCTCAGTGTCCTGGCTTCAAAACAGTGTTTGTAGCCTGACTGACATGGCTCAGCAGTTGAGCATCCACCTATGATCCAGGAGATTAAGGTTCAATTCCCAGTCAGAGCACATGCCCCTGTTGCAGGCTTGATCCCCAGTAGGGGGCCTGCAGGAGGCAGCCGATCAATGACTCATCATTGATGTTTCTCTCTCTCTCTCTCCCTCTCCCTTCCTCTCTCTGAAATCAACAAAGATATATTATAAACAAACAAACAGAAAAACACTGTTTGTACATTGGGTTGGTAGCTGTCACGTAGCTGTTTAGAAAAGTGGTAGCTAATGTCTCAGATTATGTGGTCAGAATTCTGTGTAACATTTTAAGTAGGAAAAGTTTCAGTAAAGATCCACAGATTATGTAGTGTGATAAAGGTAGCTTTTTTTATATGATAGGAGAAAGATAACCTGCACAGGTGTTTTGTGAGAAATATTAGGAACTAATAAAAAAACTATAGCCAGTATTATACTATTATACTATCACTTAAACAGAGAGTGTAACATCTGAACACATAAATCAGCAAGTGTTATAAAACAAGGGTTTTCAGAGCCTGGGTGAGAGGGGGTGAGGGCTCCTTGGAGTGATACCAGTTGCTTCTACAGAGTGGGGAGGAGGAATGCTCAGTGGTTGAGGCTCTATTTTACTTACCTTCTCTACTCAGAGCAGCCCCTTTTATCTTGCAGGTAATTTAATTAGAAGAAATGGTTCCTCTGCTTTGAAAATAAAACAACGAAACAAAATGAGTTTGCAGCCCACTGAATTAGAGGGATCATCGTATAACTACCTTTTTACAAACTAAATTTAGGCTTAGCCCTTACTAAATTGTTGGACCCTCTTGTGGATTTTTTTTCCTAAGATGATTCTGTAAGATGTAGGAAAGGGCACAAAGGAAAGCCATGCAGATGATTAAAACTTTGGAAAATGAAACTCACGAGAAAGAACTAATGAAATCTATATTTTCACCCAGAAGTGAAGACTGGGGAGTGGTTGAATAATAGGCCACAAGCATAGGAAGGTCTTCACCGTTGAGCCTCCTTCCAATAAAGATTATTAAATTTCCTCTCTCTTCTGAATTCTTTAAAAAAAATTTTTTTTTATCTACAACCGTTTTCAAGTCTTTTTTACAAACCCACCCCCACCATTTTGCTTCTCAAATGAACAGCCTCTCTCTCTTCCTCCCCTGTTAAATTTCTCGAGAGTTCCAAAAAGTAACCTGCTTTCACAACCTAGTAATTCACAATATCTTGTTTGGTTTCTGCTCCATCTTCTCCTGAATCTCTTTTATTGAGGGACACCCTCGATCTTTGTCACCACGAGGCTGTCCTACTGTCATTTCACCGTCCCCCATGCCGGAGCCCTTCTTCCTTCTGTTTCCCTGATGTGCCTTTTTAGTCCAGGTTCACCTTTCTCTCTAGAAGGTCTGCTCTCTACTTCTTAAATATTTTCCCACCGCTAGATTTCCTGCCGTATCTGCCTTTCCTTCCTAGTTTCCAGTTTTGGTTGATCCATTCACTCTAAAATGTGAGCTGCCTGACATTTCCCTTGTCCCTGAAGATTTTGGTTTGCTCAGTTGAGTGAATTCTGTCTCCGTGATAGTCCCACTTGAGCTGGGCCAGTTTGGGTCCTCTCTACTATTTCTAGGTTTTGGAGTAAAGCATTTTGTAGTTGCTTCCTATGTCTTTTTTTTGTTTTTATGCTGCTGCCAGATTCATTTTCTTGAAGCATAATTTTGGACATCATAATAATTTCATAGTTTCCTATGGCTTTGGGTTAAAATGTAGCTTTTATTCCAAACACTTTATACCTCTCACAACGTCAAGCTTTCTTAACACGCTTTTGTCTTTACCTGAGTACCCAACATCCCCTCTTCTATTTCGATAACTACTACTTATCTGCACAATTCTTCCTTTGGGACACCTACTATTATTCCCTTACAAGTCTGACTTCAAGCTAGTCTTTCTTATCCCTCCCATGTGACCCTGTGCAAACTCTCATGACCTTTCTCACACCGTTTCTCGCAGTAATTATTGACTACTTATCTGTCCCTCACATTGGAGACTGAGCTCCATGAAGGTAGAAAACCATGTCTTACTGAAATTGGCATCCCCAGTGCCTTTCCTTGGTGCCCATTACTTAAGTATTGCTCGGATATTTTATATAATGGATAAATGAATGATTTCATAGGGGCTGTAGGACGAAGGAAAAAAGCACCTTTTCTTAGCTCCGGAGATCCTACACATTCTTGATTAAATCCACCTTTCTAGGTTTATATCCCACAGTTTCCAACTTGTACACTAGTACACTGAACTGCCTGCATTTTTCCCATACATATTCTGTGATTGCTACTGCCTTGTTTTGGATTGCACGGGTCTGTAGCTTGGAATTCCCTCACTTCTCCATGTTCCTTAATCCAATCTTAGAGTTGCCTTTAAGTTACTTTACTCATCCCCCAGCTAGGAATAATGACATCGTCTTTTCCACTCCTGTAGTAATTTCTGGCCCTCGACTCTCTCATATTATAATTATTTTAGTATATGCCTCATCTTTTTTACTAGTCATTGGGCATCTTGAGAGCAGGATCCATGCCAAATTAATAAATGTATTTCCCATTTGACATGACATAGTGAGTTACCCACTGTAGTTATTCCAACATCATTGTGAATCAATAAATGTTGGCTCTATAAAAGTAGTTGAGAACTCATCTTCTTTATAGACCTTAAAACAAACAAGAAAAGTGAATATCTTTTACATTTCTCAAACTTAGCTCTGCTTAATGTAAGGGTAATAAACTGAATGATCTCCAAAATGTCATGCAAACTGATTCTAGGAAGTGGAATATTTTAAGGGATGATTCAGCGATTTATTTGGCATGTATGGACTAGTTCATCAAGAGAGGAAGGACCTGCGGATGCTGCTCAAACGTGCAACTGCGATGGCTGTGGGATGCACAGATCTCCTAGGGCTGGAGAGCAAGCAGCTGAGGGAGCATTTACCATTCTGGGCCTCAGTTTTCTCTTCTATTAAATGGAGGTTGCATTTGATAATTTCAGATGTCCTCATATTTTTATTTTGCATGTTTCAAATGAACTTTGCCCTTCTCAATTTTTGAGCCTCGCTTTTAAACCTTGCTTTATATGGCTTCCATGCTTTTCCTGACTTGCCTACTTTAGGGGTCCGTGTCTGTGCTTGTGCGCACACACAGATATTTAGAGCATTTTATTACAAGAGCTAACCCAGTTTTGAGTTCTTGGACTTCATATGTGAACTTCCTGTGAGAACTCAGTCTTTACCCTGGTCTCGACGTGCTAAGTGTTCTCTCAGGCTTTTAAGTCATTTCTGGGAGGTTCCAGGGGAAGTTGAGAGCCACAGAGAGATCGGACTGTGCTTTAGAGATTTCCTGCACATATAATATTTTTTTTGTGTGTCCTTAATTAGTTTCTTCATGCACTTTCCTGAAAATGATGTAAGTACTGATGCATTTCCTGGCCAACAGAGATTTAATCCAGGTGATGCCATGTCAGACATTACTGTTGCCCCAGATCCCTCTTGGGCAGAGAAAATAAGGACACCTGAAATCCCTTGGAGGAACCTAATCCCTTGGAGGAACTTTCCACTTTGTACTCTGCAGGATCAAGCAACCCCTCTGGTATTTCAGTGTCAGAATAATATATATATTTTTAGGGGGAAAATAGGCCCTGGCTTAGGGCCTCCCAGGTGTTAAATTTTAAATAGAAACCCTGCAATGAAAACTGGACTGTAACACACATTTCCCAATTGGTGATTGTCAACTTCTCCAAGTGCAAAGGAGACAGAGCGGCCCAGCCCAGAGGGCACTACATTTCCTCAGAGTCTTTCTGATGTCGCTATTTTTAGCACTATGTCTGGTTTGTGTACTTAGTGGTTTTTGAAAAAAGTGACACGGCCGCATGACTTGCCAAAGCCCCAGAACTAAGCTAATTCATGGCTGAGTCAGCTCTCCCAGTCAAGGTTGCTGCAGCCACCTCCCCTCCTGTTGAGGAGTTTTCAGTTCTGTTTCTAAGAAACCCTGAGCTGTCTCAGGATTTGGTCGCAGATGCAGTGAGTGCCTTGGAAAGTGCGGCGAGAACTCTCCTCCTCAGTGGCCATCTGACGGGGCAGAGCTCCCTGCGGCGAATCAGGCCACCGCTGTTTCCAGGGCGTCCAGGAGCACCGAGGGGTGTGCACCGCCCCTTCTTCCGAAGGCTCGTGAGAATCTCTCATGCTCTGGGGGGTCGCCTGAGTCTTTCTAAGAGGTGATTTAATATTGTCTGGTATATGTCCCCTGTGGTTAATTTGCAACACCGTTTGTCAGCAACAGGCAAACCCATGGCCTCCCTCATGTGTCTTTTGCCCTCCCCCACCCCTCTTTCACTGTTCTTAAGAATTCAGTTCTTTTTTTTAAAAAAAAGCATTTAGATTATGTAAAGGTGTACATGGTTTTGATAGAATTTTTTCAGTTTTCCCTAATAGAAACTTACTCTCTCTGTAATTTTGTTGTTCATTGAGACAGTTTTTGGTGTTCAGAGCTTTATGCCTCTAACCTATGTCTTCATCCTTGAAAAGTAGGTTTCTCTTGTTCCTGATCCTCCTGAGTTCTTTTTATTTAAAATCTATTAATTATAATATACAAGGTGGGACAAAAGTAGGTTTACAGTTGTGAGTATGCAAAACACAGAGTTTGTTCTTGTATTATTATTTATTGTTATATTATTTTCCGTACAAACAACTGCAAACCTACTTTTGCCCCACCCTGTATTTTAAACATAAAAAAGTATAAAAAATAATGAGGCACTCATGTCTTAATTTCACATTAACAAGTGTTACCAATTTGCCTTATTTTATCTGGTCTTTCTTTTTAAAAGAAGTGCGGTGTTGAAGATAGGCCTGTTGTGTTCTCCACCCTATTTGATTCCCCTTTATCCCTGGCAGAGGTGACCGGTATCCTGAAGCTGTTATTTATCTTTCCCGTATACGATTTTAAAATTTGACTCCGTGTGTGTAGCCACTGCAGGGTAATGTTGTGGGCTCGGAGTTCTCTTCTCTGCCCCCGCTCCCCTCGTGAGGATCCCTGTCTTCCTGCCAACCGTGCTTCTCAGCCCGTCCCATCCCTCGGTGGAGAGTGGGGTCCCCGAAGGGGCCCTGACCGCTTCTGCTCCCTTCTTTGTCCTTGGGCCCTCTCCTTCAGTCACTCCCTACCCAGGTCGTGCATGTTTTGCACCATCCGACCTTACTTCCTATCTCTCTTTCTCCCTTTATTCTTGGTGTCCCAGTGTTCAGTCACTTTAGTTTTTGTTTGTGGCCTTGAAGATTAACAAACTCAGTTCTTCCCTGTCCTTATTTGGGACAGGTAAGATGATGTTTCTGAAAACCCGAGAGAGAAATGCAGTTTAATTACTTTCAAGTACAGAAAAACTCCCGGGGGAAGTGTTCTGGAGGATCTGCAACTTTGTAATATCCGATATGAATTACTTATAATTAGCATGTTTGTTGTTTAAATGCAGTGCTAAAGGCATTTGCCATTAGATTAATAGTAATCTTTTGCAAAATTAATTTGCTTAACAAAATTCTATTTATCCTCTTAGATGTCAGTAATGTCTCTCATCTTATGATCTATGAATAATAGAGACTTTTATATTTCTCCTTAAATTATCCAAAGTGAAGTTTACTGTAAACAAGCCATTTCCTTCTTTCATGTAAAGTATATTATTTACCTACCATGTGCAAAGCACTCTATGAGTGGAGATGGATCAGGGTTCTACTTTTTAGGGACAGACTAAATGGTTTTGACAGATACTCAGGGCTGAGGGGACTTTACAGTCTTAGGTTGGCAGGAAGATATTTGTACAGATGCTACAAGGTGAGGATATTTATTCAGGTACTGTGACGAAAATCGCCTAGGGTGGGGAGAGCAAGGTAGAGGAGGGACAGTTATGTCCAGCTTTCATGGCCTGTGTAGGAACTGGTTTTGGGGATTTGATGGACGTACAAAATCCTTGATTGTATGTTCTTCAGTGTTTGAAGGTTTAAGAGCTTAGAGGTGAACTATATATAGTCTGGCCATCACAAATCTTGATTCTATTATTAGATGACAGTTACCTTTCGGTTTTTCCATAGATGTTTCAATGTCACACATTCCATTAGCTCTTCCTGACCTCCTAAATCCAAATAAAGCATTTAGGGGCTAAGAGTAGGAATGGAAAGGAATTGCCTATAATCTTTATCAGCTGTGGTTAGAGTGTATCTTTGACCTGAATGCACTCCTTGGGCCCATGCTAAGACTGTTCCTGGATTCCTTTCCCAGGATATGTTCTGGAATATAATTTAGGCTCTTTGCTACCTCCTTTCCATCTGCAAATCTACATGTTTGTTTCTCTGCATAGAACTCAGAATTCTCTATGTGGGGCCAACACTATCTTCCTTTAATGATTCATAATTATAAATTATGACACAGACACACATTAATGAAATACCCACTTGTGTGCTCACAGGAAAGGTGTTAGTGGGTAGGCAAGGAGAAAGCTCACTTTATAATTGAAGGTGGAGCTTTTGAAGCATCTTTTAAATCTGATATTTTCCCAGTTTATCATTCAGCCTCTTCTCGGCTCACTTGCCTTCCTTACCATTTACGATTTAGGTACACAGATGACTTTTTGCAGGTAAATACTAAGAATTTGGTTCTTTTTAACTTCTTTTCTTAGTCAGAAAAGAACCCAGAACACTAAAACTTACATTTGTAGATGGTAAGTAATAACAGCTATTTAGGTGTGTGTTTTTTTTCATATTTAACAATTTACATTTTTTAACTTTTATTTTAGGAAAATAGACTCCTTCAGAGTTGTTAACTCCTAGGTCACAGAGTGGGTACACTTGAGATGTATCTGCTGTAGTAGCTTTAGAGTAAAGATTTTGTCAAAAGATTAAGAGAAAGAAGCTTTGGATTTTTAAATTTCAGTAACTGTAAGCAGTTTTGAGATCTACAGAGGGACATTTTTCACCTTCTGAATTTTCCCAAATGACACTACCTATTTTGTGTTTTAGAAGACAGAGATTGAGGCCATAAGATCAGACGCAAGACTCCCCCCGCCTCCCCAAAAAGTCACTAGTGTTTTTGCTAAGTTGTGTATTGCCTGTGACTTGAAACGATAAAGGTGATATTTGATACTTCTAACTCTTCAGTGAGGAGAAGTCATGTCAGTGCTTGAGAGTCAATGGAGTGTGATGAAAAGAAAAATAAAACACTTTCTTGGGAATCAGGAGATAGGAAGTTTATCCAAGATTTCCCCCACACTTCAGTTTCATGAGTTTCTGCACCTTTTCTGTTTCGTAGTTTCTTCAACCATCAGCGGCGGGGTTCATTGCTCTCCTCCCTGGCTCCACTCGTTCCTACTGAGGCAGTTCTTGCTAAACCTCTGCTGTGTGCTTCGTCCTCTGTTGGCGGCGATGTTCCGTGTCTCGTCTCCTTTAATCGTCAGCCTGTCAGGCCTTAGTAGTTCAGCGACTTAGGACTAGTGAGCACGGCTCAGGACTGCGCTGCACTCCGGCCGAGGCAGTGGCTCTCCAGTGCCCCTTGCAGGCTGGGCCCATCTTCCACGAGTTTCCTCCCAGTCTACGAAAGCAGTAACCAGTAGATTGCACTGTGAAATTTTCATGAAGCTGAAGATACTACAGTCAATTACTCCTTTCATCCTCTTATCAAAAATATGTTACTTGATTCATGAAAAAAACAGTGATAGTAGAAAGCTTCGTTATAGGTCCCTGCTTATCAAAGTAAAACGTTTCCAAGTCTTTGTTGGTTCTCTCTCCCTCCCTCCCTTTTTTACTTGTTTATTGATCTAAAAGTCTCTTAACGCTTGGCTGAAAAAATAATGCCTCTTGCTCAGTTGGTTGGAGCATCACCCTGCGTACCAAAAGGCTGCGGGTCGGCCCCCAGCTGGGGCGTGTGTAGCAGTAGTTGCATCTGTTTTCCTTCTTTCTCCTGCTGCCGTCTTGCCAGTGAAGCAACCAGCTGATATTTCTCTGTCTCCCTTCCTCTCTCTCTCAAAATCAATAAAAACATATCCTCCAGTGAGGATTAAAAAATATAAAAAAAATAAAATAAGGCCTTAAATAAGTCAATTTGGCATGGGCACAATCCAGTTTTAAGAACAAAGTTATGCCTGGCTGGTGCGGCTCAGCATTTAAGCATCGATCTAGGATCCGAGAGGTTGGGGTTCGATTCCCGGTCAGGGCGCATGCCCGGGTTGCGGGCTCGATCCCCATCGTGGGCGTGCAGGAGGCAGCCGACCAATGACTCTCGCTCATCATTGACGTTTCAGCTCTTTCTCTCTCTCCCTTCCTCTCTCTCTGAAATCAATAAAGATATATTAAAAAAAACAACAAAAAAATTATTACAATATGAAGTAAAGGAAGGTATTTTTGTAAACAGTGTTTAGCAATTACCTAGAGTTTATATTTGATCTAATGGTAATGGAGTCTTATACCTTGCAGCTTCATTCTGATTGTCATCTTCATTGTTTTGGTTTTTTTTTAACCTGTGAATATTTAATATAACTGTTGGCAAGAAATATTTTTCAAGGAAATGGTGTTCCCTGAAGGGATATCCTTCCCCTCTTCCACGACAGCCCTGGCTCAGGAATCACCTTGATTTGATGTCTGTTGGTCCTATTCAGTACTGACGGTGTTCTGCCTTATTTTTCCTTAGCGATACTAATGAAGTTGACATACCACCCAACACTCGAGTTGGCACCAAACGCTATATGCCGCCGGAAGTGTTGGATGAGAGCTTGAATAGAAATCACTTTCAGTCGTACATCATGGCCGACATGTACAGCTTTGGACTCATCCTTTGGGAGGTGACCAGGAGATGTGTGTCAGGAGGTAAGTAACCGTGGGACTGTTGGGCTGCTATAAGTCATTTTTCTTTTCTGATCAGAAATCAAAGTTTTGTCTACAAAATCAAATTTTCTTTAATTATCCTCCTTTATTTCTGTTGACTCAGTCACGATCCTCCCAGGAAATGATATTTTGCATCACAGAATGAGCTCCCACTGCCCTCTGCTCTCCAGCTGAAGAATCTCATCTAGACACATTGTCAGCTTCCTCCGCCTTTTCACAGATCACCCTGTTCTGTTCTTTGGATTGTCTCACTTCCCTCTTGAGCTCTTCCTCCAGCAGTTGCTTTATCAAGTCAACCCCATCTCTACACCTTTTAGCTTCTTCTTACCAATCTGCTGGGCCCTGTCCCCAACTCCAGTGACCCACTTCCTGTAGCTTCCTCTGCTCAGATAAAGAGACATGACTGTGGGGTGGGACACCCATTATTTAATCTCCCTACTTCTTAACTTTGTATGATACTTCCTCACAAACCAATTTGAAAACATCAGTTTTTATCAAAAGGAAGTTGAAGCATAGGAATATTATCATTGGTCATGGTAATTTTTTTACAAACATAAGGTTTCCCTAGTAAGACTAAGAAGACATCCTTAAATATTCAGAGGCGTTAGTATTGTTGTAGTGTTTTGCATGCTGGTGCATCATTTGTCTTTTAGTCGATTCCAGCACCTTTCAGGTGAGGAGTTGAGTCTGGTGCTCTTTAGTATCACGTACCTGTTTGGGGTTCTAGTCACGGTTGTGCTTGTTAAGTCAACCCTGGTGGCGGTGCCCTTCCTCCTGATGGCCAGTTAAACTCACCTTCATGAAAACTGGAGCTTGCCCAAGATTCTGAAAGTATAGCCTACGCTTAACCAGTCCTGGCACTTGTATCTGTGAACCTTTGACAGGTACTAATCCTTTTTTGCTTCAGTCTTCTCATCATAAGAAGGGGGTGAATTATTGTATTACCTGAGACGGTTGTGAGGTTTTAATGATTGCAAAGAGAATTAAAACTGCCTGACCCATAAATAGTCCTTAATACATGTTAGCTGTTACTTTAAATTTTCATTTTGGTTGATAGAGCCCTAACTTACATTTAGAATCATGTTTAAATATAAAGGAGAGACAGTTAATCAATAGGCATTCATACTTTTGTAGAAAGACCACCTTGAGTGATGCAGTGCCTTCTAATCACTCTGAGAATCCTGAGCTGCTCGTTAGCTTAAGTTAAAATAGAACACACTCCCTCTAAAGTGAGAGAACGCTTTTTGTCACAAAGGGAAGTTAGTGTAGGAAGTTTTTCCTATTCAGATGTTGAATAACTCTCCCACTGTATTATGAAAAAAAAAGGAATCACCAAAATATAAAATAACTAACTGCCTATGCCTTGATTTCATGTTTTATAGAGTAAATGAGCGTATTTTTGAATAATATGTTTATTCTTATTTAAGATAGGTCTGTAGTAGTAGAAAGAATAGTAGAGTGCACGATTGCTTTTCTAATTATGTTTTCCTGAACATCTAAAGCAGTTAGGACTGCAAGAAGCCTATATCTGAAATCCTGTAGGCAGAATATGGGAAAAATGATTCTTAGTTTAAAAACAAGCTGGGTGTCCTGGCTCGTGTGATTCAGTTGGTTGGAGTGTCACCTTGTGCCCTGAAAGATTGCTGGTTCAATTCCTGGTCGGGGCACATGCCTGGGTTCAGGGCTCGATCCCCAGTAGGGGTGTTCAGGAGACAGCCAATCAATGTTAATATTTTTAGGTGTGTATAGTTCTCCAAATTTTAAATGTGCAAAAACACATTCTTATGATTAAGCAGAAAAAAATGTAAATGAGACATTTTCAAGTAGACTGCACCGCCAAATTTATTATGAGATTCATAATCTCATATTGCAGTAATAGAAACAATCACATATTGTACAGTATGAGTTTGGAACGTGTCTGCCAAATTTGCATTGAGATTTAATATAGATTTTTTTAAAATTTGGCATGCAAGAACCTTTAAAATTGGAAATAAATTTGAGATGCTTGTTTTACTTAGCTTTTGGAAATTAAGAAAAAAAGGCTTGAAGACTATAATAATATGTTTCATTAGGCTTTCTATTCAATTAAAAATTAGATTAAATGTCATTTGGATACTTTTTCCCCCCAAGATTTATTTTGCTCTTTTTCAGCCCGAACTTGACTTTAGTACTGACAGAACTTTTTTTGAGAACAGTTTTTATGTTAGACTTTTATCTCCATTTCACAGAAAAAAATATAATAATAAAACCGTACTTCCAGGTGCAGTGGAAGAATACCAGCTTCCCTATCACGACCTGGTGCCCACTGACCCCTCCTACGAGGACATGAGGGAGATTGTGTGCATCAAGAAGCTCCGTCCCTCATTCCCCAGCCGGTGGAGCGGCGATGAGGTAGGTAGGGCCTGAAGGAACCATGTGCTATAGCACTTTTCCCCTGTTGCCAAAATTCCAGATATTCATTACAGGAGTTCTCCTTTGTCCCGTTGGTGATGGTAGTGATGCCTCGCTGTGGTAATTTAGATGGTGCTAAGTGTATTATGATAAATTGTCTGTTCCTTTCTTTCTGATTTGATTGTGCCGCTTCCAAAATACATGGAGTGGGTTCACATTTAGCCAGCATAACAGGTAACAGTATTTAATTTATTTGTGATGTCCTGACATTTGCATACCGGCTCTATTTCTCTGCGTGTGTATTCTTAAAGCATCGTGAATTTTCTCCATGAAAAAACCCACGGACAACATTGTACCATTTTGATGAGAGAAAAGATATGCATCTGAAAAATGCAGTTTTCTGTACACAGAAGTGACACAAGCTAACCTAGTTGAGGCACCTTTGATGATGCTGGGGGCCTTTGTTAATAAGGATGGTGAGAGGTGATTGGAATGAATCCACCACTGTAAGGATGCAGTGGCGAGACCTAAAGCAGGTCTACGAAGAAGCTGCTCAGGAGGAGCTGCGTGGGGCGGGCCTTGCCTGTCCTGGCTCCTCTGCTCCACATCACCTCCACCCATCCCCTGAGCTTGTGCCCTCACCAAGCCCCGCAGGGCTCTGGCAGGCTGGAGCATCCAGAGATGCGCTTGAGGCGTCAACATGTGCCAGAGCCAGTGCAAACACATGGGCAGAGCACTGCCTAGGAAATAATTCTTCACTGTTAAATGCATTTAAAGACAACCTTTGGCTCATTGGTTTTTGTGTCTAGTTACTGAAATGCTAAATAATACATATGTTTTCCAATGAGCTATGCAGAAAGCTTTATGACATGCTGGAGTTACATTACTTTGAAGCCGGTTATGGGCATTGGTAATATCCCAAATTCCTTCGCTGAGGATTTCTAATGAAGTGAAATTGTGCTTTTCAACAGGAAGACCAATAATTGATGCAGGAGAGAGTTTTAGCGAGGCTCCACACAGGTCGTTAATCTTGTTAAATGCGACAGTGTGATGCTGTTATTGTAGCAGACAGCTTGTGATTTAGGAATAACCACGTTTGTTTGAATAGTGTGGCAACAGATAAAAGATTTAAGCTGATCAAGTGTTACAAACAAACTGGGAGTGTGGAGTGGAATACAGACTCCTGCGTATTTTTGTATTTCTTTAATACTGACTTCAAAGACACTCTTCTTCAATCAGCAAAACCACTTGCTTGCTTCTATCAAAAGGATAACATGAAAATCTGTCTTAGTCATTTAAAATTTGCATGAAAAAAGAATCTTCCTGAAATTTTGTCTAAATGGTTTTCAAAGTAGCTTTTAAAAATATATTCAAACTTCAGAAACTCAAAATTAAAATCCAAATATCATGGGCCAGTCTAGCATATAATAAATACAAGTTATTATATTATATGTTATAATAAATAACATTATTCCCAATTTCCTTTTCCCTGCCTGCAGTGTCTAAGGCAGATGGGGAAACTAATGACAGAGTGCTGGGCTCACAATCCTGCATCCAGACTCACAGCCCTGCGTGTGAAGAAAACACTTGCCAAAATGTCAGAGTCCCAGGACATTAAACTCTGATTTGAGTGGGGGAGGGAAGGAAAAAGCAAAAAACAGAAAAAAAGAAAAAGAAAGAAAAAAAAGCATCACTGGAGGAAGCCAGATCTTCTCTTTGCGGGCAGAGCAAAAAATGTTCCTGAAGCATCCACAGTACAAGCCTCGAACAGCCCAGCTTCCCAGTGGGTTCAGCCTCGCCTCCCGGGGAGCAGCCTGGACAGACAGAAGTTCCCAGAAACACAGACTCATGGTGTCTGTAGGAGGTTGAAACCGCTCGGGTAACTTGTTTAAGACATGGTGCACGTTGCTTTCTAAGAAAGCCCTGTATTTTGGGATTGCCCCCCCCTTTTTTTCCCCCCAAAAGATGCTTTAATTTTGCCAAAATATAACAAATAATTTAGATATTTTAAGGTTTTTACTATTCTAGTTTAAATAGTAACAATGAGAGTTCTCAGAAATTCTGCTGGAAAGTAAATTAAAGTAGTTTTTCCATTGGTAAAATTTTGTTGCACTCTACAAACCAAAAGCCAGCCTGTGAAGTCGTGGAACAGAGTGGAGCTGCCCCCGCCTCCTCAGGCCGCTCCGGCCAGCCCCGAGCTGGGGGCTGCCGCCCAATGTGAATGCACCTGGGTACAAGCACCGCCTGCCTGGGACCGCGTTTGGGATCCCTGCAGGTGACCCTTTGCAGCTTCAGAGGATTTGGAACAAATGAAGTGTTTATGTGATTCTGTTAGAAGTGAGTGTCAATGTTCTTCCTCAGAACCACTTTGTGTTTCTGATTCTGTTAGGCATTTCTTTCATGGTCAGATCTCTTCCTTTTCATGAAACACAAAACAGAGCTTTTGTTCATGTGTAGAGAATTGACCCAGGCATGCTTCTGATCTCTCAAATGAAAGCATCGATATTGCCATAAGTTGTGTTGAAGATCGCACACTTTAAAATAGAGATAGTTGGCTCTTGGGTGGTAAGACAACCATGTCAGTAGGGTAGAGATGAGGGTGGGGGCGCACGTGGCGTGTTCCTTACATATGCAGAAGAGCAGTCTCAGGAGCACAGGGGGATATTATGCACACTTTACTTTGAATAGATAAAACCAGTTTCTTTTTGTTATTGTCTCTCTCTTTTGCGTCTGCGTGAAGGGAAGGAGAGGAAGCATATGCCATGTTAATTTAACTCAATTTTAACTTAAAAATAGATGACTATACCCTCCAAAGGGGACAGCAGAGGAGTTAGTGGAGGCCACAAACTATTATGGCTGCTGTGATTTATTTTTCTAGAATAGACAATGGATCGAGTATGTACATCATTAAGTGATCGTTTCACATTTTAGGAATGCTGCCTCTATTTTATTTTAATCTCGTGATGTTCAGTTCACTTTTTAATTTATTATTTTTGTATTCTCTGTGGCACTTGTGCAAAACATCTCTTCACCCACTCGATTCTGCACGGTTTTCACTTTTGAGAAACGTGAGTCCACTCATGGACAGGGCCAATATTGCTGAGCAACAGGAACGTGAAGTTCAAAATTGCACACATCCCCCTCACCTTTGTTCATTGCCATGTCCTTACTGTGGTTTTCTTTTGCTTCTTAGAAGTTCTGTAACTTAGTGAGGAATTGGGAAATACTCTCTCCATAGCCTTAAAAAAGGAAAGCAAAAGACATTTCTTCCAGAATCCTGCAGGGGGCAGTGTGTTATAACACATTTTCACCACTTGGTGAGTGAAGGATGGATGTTTTTTGAAAATTTGACAGCTGCATGAAAAATGAGAAAATATTTTCCTCACTTCTGAAGTAGGCTTGCAGCTGGTGACTTGTTCATTCAGAAAACACCCTAGAGCAGAGAGTGGTTGTGAGATGTGCTTATATTCTGAGGGAATCATAAGAAGAAACACAGTGTTCTATATTCAGCATTCACTTCCCAAGGCTTTATAGCCACATCTTGTTTGTAACAAAGGAAGAAGATTTTTTTGATTCTTTAACATGAACAAAATTTGTTTTTTTCAAAGATTAAGAACTGTTGGTTCCAGATTTTAATCAGAATGCTGCTTTTGGTGATATTAAAATAATCTGAATGGCAATGTAACGGTTCCTTTCTCTTGTGTCAAATCGTATTCTTTGTGATAGCTTAGAAGAAATATGTGGCTAGAACTAAGTGTGATAATCATCTGAGCCGTAGAGAGAAACTTTAGTACCTCTAATCACATCATCTACAAACAAATAAGTAACCATTTATGCCCGTTAACAGGGGACGTGTTTTTGTTTCTTGATTTTTCTTAAATTTAAGTGAGGTTGGACTTACTTCTTAGATAAAAATGTATGTTCTTTTTGGTAAGTTTGTATACATGATAACTGAAAATCAGAATATTTTGTGGGGAAGTGATGATTTGAAAATAAACTAGATTTCTAGGGAGGTGTTGGTTCCAATGAAGAATAGCAGGAAATTTCTTCTATGTTATTTGTTTAGTTGCTTTGGAAAAATCAATAGTTTCCTTTCTAATTCTCAACCTGATTTACTCACTATGAACAATTAAAAATTATTCCTGAGATACTTCAAAAGACCTATTTAGTTATTATAATCTTTAAATGCAACAAGAATTTATTTACAAATAGATTTTTCTGTGTCTTCCAAAATTCACCTTACTTAGGGAATCCTGAATTGTTCTTAAAAAGAGACTACCTACTTATTTACAAATGATCCGTTTTGATTTTTAAGTTTCTAGTAGCTCAGAAGTGAATTTTATTTTATTTTATTTTTTTGTTTTAACTTTCTATAGAATAAGTGGGAACCTGGAAAGTAATAATGTAGCTGATTTCTTACTATCAGGAGTATTTCACAGACTAAGATTTTCTTCTAGTCTCTCCCCCCAGAGGAATCCTAAAATCCTAGTTGCTAGCTAATATAAGTTTTGTATGCTAAGATGTTCAGGTTTATAGTTTATTATGTGTATATATATTATATAAATATATGTTTATATAAATATTATGTTCAGTTTGGAGTCTGGCACAACTCCATTTTGTGGATTAGAGAGTAAAATATTATGGATGATAAAGTACTAAATGAAACATAATATTTATTTATAAAAGTGTGTAGATTGTTAAATCACAAGTAGCAGTGCTATGAACATTGTGTGTGAGGAGACAGGCCTTTGACCTCCTGGAAAGCACCGCTCAAAAGTCACTATGACCATTCTTTTTATTCTCAAAACATAAAGCTTCTTAGAAAACATGCTAAGATTTTATTTAGAGGGAATCCTTTGTTTCAGTTGTCGTCAGGTTTAGCAAGGACTGAGTAGCAACCACGTTTCATGTTCTCAGAGTCGTGCATACTCATTAGAAGTTACAGCTTTTATGTCCCTGGTCTGTTCTAGTGCTTCACGTTTGTAGGTGGAAAGGCACAGAGAGAAATATAGTTTTTAAACTCGAATTGTTCTGTGGTTATATCTCCTTAGAAAACTCAGTCACATAGCAGTGGAAATGAACGAAATGATGCCAGAAGTGATTTAATTCAGCAATTATGATTCCTCTTGTAAAACAAAACACAAACCCCACAATGCTGTATTTTTTGGAGAAGAGTTGGCAATATATAAAGAATTTTGTTGTCTGTTTCAAAAGAAGACTCATTTGTGTTCTTTTGGGGAACCAGTGCCTTATTGAATTTGTACATACTGTAATTATTCAGGACTAGGGAACAAACGACTGTATTGTATTTGTTACAAATTGTATATGGCTTTGTTTGAACATTCCCCCAAATAAAATGGTTCCGTTCTCCCCTTGGAAGGAAAGTGTCTGTCGTATGGTTTTGCCTTTTTTCTGCCTTTGAAGCTGTCACTCTGTAGCCGGCGGGAAGGCCGCCGTGACGAGTGATGCAGGTAAGTTTACACGCTCGGTGGCAGGAGGGCGGGAGAGATGGCCTGATGGCTTCTGTTTTCTCTGCAATTAGGAGGTACTGTCATTTGTTGAGAGTGAGAGGAAAGGTAGGGAAGTCAGTGGTTTAAAGAAGTGAGAATTGTACTGCGGGAAATTACAGCGAGATGGTTGTGGGCAGTGCCGAGGGCCCAATTAAGACTGATGCTGTGTGGCTCTGTGGCCAGGAGTGTGGCCTCTGGGCCACCAGACAGCCTGTTGGTGTCTCTAGGCCACCAGCCTGTTGGTGTCTCTAGGCTTACTCATTCCCTTGGTTGAGTGACAGTAGGCTCAGTTTCTTCCCCTTGAGGATGGGAAAAACACTAATATCTACTGCATGGAGTGGTTCTGAAGATGAAATGAAATAATCCATGTACCAAGCATGAGGTAAGCGCTCATCCATCACTAAACATTAGCTATTATTACAGATTCATAATGCCGCTTTTCTATGTGGTTTTAGGATTTTATTTTTCTATCAGCAACCCAAATGCAGGCATGGAGACTGCAATAATTGGATTCACTCAGGGTTGGGGTGTGTCAGGCACATGGAGCAGTGGGTCATAGGAAATCATCAAGGGCATGACTGACGTGGTCCAGGGAGGGGACTAAAGAGGAGCCAACTGATGGGTCAAAGGACAGGGAACCCTGATGGGGCTGAGGTGGTACATTAGCAGTTTTTGAGAAAAGGGGCTGTGGTTAGAATGAAGATTCGAAGAAGCGGCAGCGAGACTAAGCACAACACTAGGGGTGTGATCACCGGAGAGGGTGCATTTAGTGGACAAGATTTCTAGTGGTGAAAAAGTGACCCCAAAGCCAGCACTTTGCATCTGTCTTCATGGATTTGGAAGCACCCCAGGAAGGTGGCACAGACAGATACAGAGGGAGGCCAGGTCTTAGAACTCTCCAGTGACCTCCACTCAGACAGGGCTTCGCTCGTGGCTGTCAGAGCCTTGACTTTGGAAATGTTTTCATGCTCTCCTAGGCTCAGTTTTCCCAGCAGGAATCCAGCTACCAAAGCTCCAAATTAGGGGTCACCAAGTGATACTGGGCTGAGTCTGTGCTACCCTGTGTTTTCTTTCTGCAGTACTGTTTTGTTCTGTAACTGAATTTTCATTATTTTACATGGAGTTGAATTCTCTAGTTCAGCCACAGGACTCACATCTCACTTTTATTCTTAGTTTATATATTGTCACTACTTCCTAAGCCCTGGCAAACATTTGAGCCTATGACCCTAGCTTTGACTCAGTCTTAAGTCACTCCCAGTTCTCAGGAGGGGGGCGTTTCTCAGTGTTGGCACAATTGCTCACAAACACTCTTTTGTCAGAGGTCGGGGCTCGTTGCAGTCTACCTGACACACTTCTCCAGGTACACTTGACCCTTAACAGCATTGGAGTTAGGGGCGCCGAATCAAAACTCCATGTGTAGAGAACATACAGATGGCCAGTAGACATATGGAAAAAGGCTCAGTCACTAATCATCAGAGAAATGCAAATTAAAACCACAGTGAGATATATCACCTTGCATCTGTCAGAATGGCTACCATCAATAAATGTGGAGCAAAGGGAACCCTAGTTCACTGCTGGTGGGAATGCAGACAGGTGCAGCTGCTATGGAAAACAGTGTGGAATTGCCTCAGAAAATTAAAAAAGGAACTGCTGTTTGACCCACCGATCCCACTTCTGGGAATATATCCTTAAAAACCCTGAAACACCAATCAGAAATAATATATGCACCCCTATGCTCATAGCAGCACAATTTACAACAGCTAAGATCTGGAAGCAGCCCAAGTGCTCACCAGTAGATGAGTGGATAAAAAAGCTGTGGGACATTGGAATACTATAGCTGTAAAAAAGACGGATCTCTTACCCTTTGGGACAGCATGGACGGAACTGGAGAATATTATGCTAAGTGAAATAAGCCAATCAGAAAAAGACAAATATCATATGATCTCTTATTTGTGGAATCTAATGAACAAAATGAAGTGACCAACAAAATAAATCCCAAGGCATGGAACAGACTGACATATCTCGGGGGTGGGGGGGAGCACAAGAAGAGATGAGCCGTAGAAGTTATATGC